CACTCCAGCCTGGGCGACAGAGCGAGACTCTGTCTCAAAAAAAAAAAAAAACAAAAAAACAAAAACGAACAAATAGTATTTATAACTGCTTTACTGCATTTCTTACATTCTTTCACATCCATTATATGACTTAATTTTACTCTCCTAAAAACCCTTGTTAAGTACATTATCAGGAGAGCACAGGTATCATCACTAACAGGTGTTTTGTTTTTTTTTTTTCTATTTTACAGATGAGAAAACTGAGCTTGGAAAGGGCTCACACTCATATTGTTTAACATGAAGCCCAGTGAACTGTCTTTCAACTACATAATGTCCTACAGCATCCTCAGAACCTCACAGTCATTGGATTACAAGGTGGTTAGTTAGGCCCTACAGAGAAAAATGCTGCCTCAACTTTGGAGGGAAAAGGTGTGGGAGAGGTTAAGAAGATAGGTAGAGAAGGAAGACAGAAAATACTATCTAATCATCAAGAAAATACAATGAGAAGAAACAGAATGAACAACCATTGTAAAGCTTATGATCATAACCTTTGCTCACGGGTAAAACAGCTGAAGGAAAAACCGAATGGTGGATGATGACAGTTGGTGACGAAATTGACAACAGTACAAAAAATAAATCAGATCATCCAGAGAGTGGCAAGCAACGCGATTACCCATAAATGTGCATGGGGAACTGGAAAGGTGTGTGACCTGGAAATGTGCATGGGGGAACTGGAAAGGGGAACTGGAGAGAGGATGAGGATGATAAGCTGAAGGACGCAGAGAAGAGCGAATGAAAGGGGACTGGCGATGGAGCAGGCACGACTGAAAGTGGATGATGGGGAGCAGATGGGTGTCCCAGCGGGTTACGGGGGAGGCGGAGTGGAATAATGCAGAGTGGTCATTTAAAAAAAAAAAAAAACACGGCAGAAATATGGCGATGACAGTCCAGAGTGGAGATGGAGCAGGAGGTCAGGGAGATGACAACCCAGGTAGGGAGGCTAGCAAGGTGACAATACAGAGGTAGTAGTGGCAGGGACGGGCAGCGTGCTAGCTGAGGAGGAAGCTGTCACCTGCGACAGAGTACGCGTGTGCGGCAGCGCCTCGGGGTTAGTACCTGTAACCGCGGTTGGAGGCCCGGGGCGGAATCCGGTAGACGCTGACGTCCGGTTTCACACACAGCACAGACTCGTACTCCAACTCGGCCGCCATCTTGGCTCCGCTGTCCGCGCTGCCGGGGGCGAAACGTAAGACCGGGGGCGAAACGTAAGACCGGGGGCGGAGCACGGGAGGTGGAGATGCAAAGCGCGACAACTTCTGCTTGCGTCACTTCCGCGCGAGTTCAAGTTGGTTTCTGATATTAACCTCTTCGGTGACGCTGGAAGCCATATTGAAACCTGGAAACGATGAGGCTGCGCGACTCACCCTTGGGTAATGGCAAAGATGCCTCCAAGTGCGTGACTCTCGTTATGGAAATCTCTCTCCCGGAGAGGTGCTTAGGAAAAGCGCCATCTTACTCTAGGCAGGTTTCTGGAGTGCCCTATGAGGACGAGGACCGTATTGAATCCTGACGGATTTTCTTCCAGGAGTCACTTCCCAACTGTAGTCTCCTGGCAGAAAAGAGGCAGATAATGCCAGACGAGATACCTACAGAGAATGATGTATGAGCTGGTCATAGACACGGTGAATTTCAACTCTGGTCCAGAGTCTTAACGCTGAAAACACCCAACTTGATTTAGTGCCTTACACTCTTTATCTCCAATTTTTCAGGACGACACCTGTTAAAATGTTTTGCCACACTTTCAGCGTGTATTTCGATTATCTTTTTGGAAATTTTGATCCTGTTAAATACACTCTAAATGCGATCAACCCAATTCCTGATAAAATTGGAAGCATAATGAACTATCTAATGGCCTCTATTACCTCCCAGTTCTATTATGATGATAAATGCTACCGAACTCTCACCATAAATATGATCTTTCTGCGCCCCAAAAGTAAACTTAACTACAACATCGTAACTTAGTACAGATAGCAAGTGGCAAAACTGAGATAGGAACTCAAGCCTTCCTCATTACAACAGCAGCAGTCTTCATCACTTTGTTGACTGGTTGAAAACCTGCCTCTAATTTGTCTACTCCACCTTGGAAAGTGATATCTTAAATTTCAAAAAGAATTACAATATTTATCCCTGGCGAGGACGTGAGGAATGGTCTAATCTTATATACTTTTGGCAGGATTGTAAATTGGCACAGCATTTTTAAAAGAGAAATTAACAGAATTTATCAAAATATTAATTGGACGTAATCTTCAATTTAGCAGTTTCACTAATAAGTATTGTAAAGAAATCCTTATGCACAAAAAAGTATGTACAATACTACAGCATTGTTTGTAGTAGTGAAAAAAATGCAAACAACATGACCATCTATCAATGAAAAATGGTTAATGGCACATCTATTACTATGAGATGTTTTGAACTAAAGGGTTAGCCATTGAAAGAGATCAAGATTTTTTAAACCCAACTGCAAAAAACATACAGCATAATCAACTTTTGTCGAAACACCCCAAAATTATATATGTATGCATGTAAATGCATTGAAAAGGCTTTCAAAGGATATAGGGCTAAGTGGGGGAAAGAAACATTTTCTCCTCCATATATTTCTCTGTTAAGATTTATATAGCTATTATCTTCACTGAATACATGTTAAAAGAAAAATAAAGACAAAAAAAGTGGTTTATTACTTGTTCCATATTTCTGACCCTATGATCTCATCTGAAGCCTAGGTCATATGACTTACACCACATTGTACCTCTTTTTTTTTCTCTCTTCTGTGTTATCACTGGCAATCATTTTTGGAGGATTCTGGCTTCTGGTTCACCTTCTTACTGGTTTACACTCTTCCTCTTCTCCCAAATCTTTTAGAGATTTCGAAGTCCATATAGTTAACTCTTCCTAGCTATACAATCTCCTGACATAAATCTAACCATCTTTACCTCTCTTTTCTACCTCACCTGTTATTCTTCATGTTCTGCACATTGTTAGCCTTCTCTTTATTCCTCCCCCTCCTTGTTTCAACAGTTCTCTTGCCAGCATCCTTAAGCTTCCTTTCCTGCTTGTCTTTCCATCACAGCCAACCCAAAAGACTCCAGTCATATGTATTCCAACCATCTCCCACCATCATTCTCCAAAAGCAAATCACGCAAGTATAAAGATTGGTGTCCCTAAAAGTTTATGGGTTTGAGTCTCAGCTTTGCCTTTAACACCCAGATTTGCCATTGCTAGTTTTTATTTTCATTCCCTTTAATGGTTGTTCCAAATTTTGCTGCCCTTTCAGGCCTTCAACTCTAAGTCTTCTCCTTTTCTTTCTTGACAGGTGAAATATCTTACTACTTCCCTGAGAAAATAAAGTTTATGCGAACTCTCTCAACTTAATGACACCCTATTCATAGTCCTATCTGCATCTTCACCTATTCTTTTTCCTGTCCACTTGTGTGTGCCCACGATTCTCTACTCCCCAATCTCCTCAGGGACCTAGCTTAATCAGTTATCTCCTTTCTTTCCTGTATCTTAAAACTCATTTTCCATTCACCCCTTTCCCTCAGCATATAAGTATATTCAAGTCCTTTCACACACAAAAAAAAAAACCATGTTTTTTCTTTATTTAAATTTAAATTTCCCTTCTCTTGCTTCATCTCAACAAAAACAGAAAAAAATAGTCTTCCTCACTCTCACCCACAATGTCCTCTCTAGCTTAACTGATCACATTGCCATAATTTTCCATACATGCCATTTTTATTCATGCTGAACATATTTGCACAGACCGAAATGCCCTTCCCATTCATTCCTTGGGAAGATGCCTTTAGATCTAATCCAAGTATCAATTTATCTGAGAAGTTTTCCTCAACTTCTCTAAATAGAACTGGTAAGTGCCTCCTCTATGCTCCCACATTTTTATACCTGTTTTAGTTCTTATCATATTGTGTTCAACTGCTTGTTGGCATATCTGTTTTCCAAGGGAAAGAAACAGGTTTGTGTTTTCCCAGCATCTAGCACAGTTTTCAGACTATAGTAAGAACTCTGTATGTTTATTTGCTAAATGAGTGATCATTTCAGCCAGCCTTCACAGGAATGATTTGTTCTTTCCCAATCAAAATAATTAAAAATGTTTTGGGCCTACGGCCGGGCGCGGTGGCTCAAGCCTGTAATTCCAGCACTTTGGGAGGCCGAGATGGGCAGATCACAAGGTCAGGAGATCGAGACCATCCTGGCTAACACAGTGAAACCCCGACTTTACTAAAAAAAAATACAAAAAACTAGCCGGGCGAGGTGGCGGGCGCCTGTAGTCCCAGCTACTTGGGAGGCTGAGGCAGGAGAATGGCGTAAACCCGGGAGGCGGAGCTTGCAGTGAGCTGAGATCACGCCACTGCACTCCAGCCTGGGCCACAGAGCGAGACTCTGTCTCAAAAAAAAAAAAAAAAAAAATGTCTTGGGCCTGCACAGTAGCTCATGCCTGTAACCTCAGCACCTTGGGAGGCTGAGGCAGGCAGATCACTTGAGGTGAGGAGTTCAAGACCCTCCTGGCTAACATGTTGAAACCCTGTCTCTACTAAAACTACAAAAACTAGCTGGCCATAGTGGTGCGTGCCTGTAATCCCAGTTACTCGGGAGGCTGAGGCAGGAGAATCGCTTGAACCCAGGAGACGGAGGTTGCAGTGAGCCAAGAACGCACCGCTGCACTCCAGCCTGGGATACTGAATGAGACTCCCTATTTAAAAAAAAAAAAAAAAAAATTAAAAATGTCTTGTCTTGAACTTATCTTTACCCACCACTGGGGAGTAGTAACTACACAGCTCACAGGTTCTGGGCTGAGAGCAGACTGTGCTGAAAGTCAAGCTAGTGTTCTTGTATGTGACTTTGTAAGTATATGTGATTTAACCAAGTTTAACAAAAGCACTTTTGTTGAAATTCATGGAGGCCTTACCCATCTCAAATCTTGATCACTTTTAGATGTAATTTAAACATGAAAATAACTTATGGTTTTCTTAACTTATCCCCACAAGTAACATATTTCCCAGCTCTTCTTTACGCACGCACATAAAAGGTATTTGTCACAGATTAAATTCTGACTCATCTTTGCTCAGGGTACTGCTATCAATGGTATTTGTTAAAGTATAATTTTCCTAAATCCTGAAGTTGCTACACATGCAGCGGTAATAAAAATTGTAATGAGATTCGAATCATAGTTTACAGGAATTTTTTAGCTAGAGTAGACCTTAATAACCTTTTAGTTCAGATCTCATCTAAAGACGTAGTTGGTGATGCAGTCAGGATTAGAACTTCATATCTTGTGATTTACAAACTAACACTCTTTCCACCATGAGGTGGGTAAGGCCTCCATCAATTTCAACAAATCAAAAAACGAACATTTTTTGAAGTTGAAAACACTGTATTGGTCTTACCATGATTTCATATTGTAATCAAGTAGAAATTAAAGTCAGCCATTGACCTAAATCTAGCCATACCTACTCCTTGCTCTGTCGTGTTGTGCTACAGCTACTGTGTCAGGTTAAACTGGCTTTGCTTGTAAATTTGACAATCTTCAAATCTGAGGGGTAATGAATTCTAACTTTGATTTATTTACTGCTGTATCGCCAACACCTAGAAGAGTGTCTGGCACATGGTAGGTGTTCAATCAATATTTGTGGTTTAAATGACAATAATCTAGAAACCTAAAGAGAAAAAAAAATTAAAAAGATTGAGAGTCCTATAACTACAGAACTTAGGATAAAAGCCACTTTAGTATTAATACTATTCATGAAGAAAACACATCAGGTTCTACAGCCTGAACAGCAAAGGATATGTCTCACTCGGGACACTTTAAGTTAGAATTCTGTTTCCTGATGATTTAAGGGAAATAGCCTTTCCTCCTACACGTCCAAGCTATATAATAGCTTCAGAACATGAATAAAACTTGGCCCCAGGGAGATTTACAGCAATGACTCACGCTTTGTGAATCTCTGCTCCTTAATGAGGATGTGAGGCATCTGGCAGGTGCTGGGTGTAATTAGGAGAAAGACCAGGCCCTAAATCTAAAGATATCTGCTTTTTCCCCCAACTCCTTCATCCCCTACTACACCATCAAATGGAAATCCAACAGAAAGTATTTATACTACCTGCTATAGTTACCAGAGTGCAGATGACTTACTAAGGAAATAGTTGATTTCCAGAGTGATGAGCTTATGCATTGAAAAGTCTTAGAGGACATTTCTCAGACCCCAGATTGTCAAAAATTTAAATATCTGTCA